TTTCTTCCCCAATACTCCCACTATCCTATCGTTCAGCAGCTTACAAAACACTTTTCCGACTGTGTTCAACAGTGTGATCCCCATGTAGTTGCCTGGGTCAGTCTTGTCTCCTTTCTCAAACAAGTTCACGACTACTCCTTCCCTCCATCTACTTGGCGTATACTCGTTTTTCCACACCCAATTGTACAGCAGTACCATCAGCTGGATCATCCCCTTCCCCCCAAACTTCATCAAGTCGTCGACTATCCCATCCGCTCTTGCTGCTTTGTGGCACTTCAGCTTGTTCACACACGCCTCAACCTCGTCCTCAGTGAACTCCTTTTCTAGTTCTACGTTCCCAACGTCTGCCTTCGATGTCTCTTCTTCTTTTTGGGCCCATGCGTCCACCTCCTTCTTAAACGCTTGGTCAAAAGCTTCATTCTCCGAGGGCACTCCAAGTCTCTTGTAGTGTCCTGCTAGAACTTCCCTTTTTCCCTTCCCACTGCTGACTAATCCACCGTTCACACCTCGCAAAATTGCTACCCCTGTATTCCCCCCTTGCGCGGTCTTTTTTACCATTCCACTAATCCCTTCCAACATCTGCTTGACGTTCCCCTCCAGGCCTCCGTCGGCCTTCTGCACTACTACTTCGTCCCAAATACACTTGTTCTTCTTTTTGACGAGTCCATTCACCTGTTTTCTCTTGGCCCTGTACTTTTCCCAACTCTCCTCAGAAGCCTCACTCAGGTACTGCTTGAAGACTTCTCTATGTTCCCCTGTTTCTTCTTTCAGCTCGTCATTCCACCACGTAACCGATACCCCACATCGTACCAGCTTCTTTCCCACTACTCTCTCTGCCGTTGCGTTCACGATGGACTCCCACCCTTCAATCACCCTGTCCCCTGCTGCTTGTACGTCTACCTGTCCGTCTTCGACGCTTCTCAGCAGTTTCCTGAAGGGTTCTACACTACCAGCCAGTCCCTTCTGGAATTCATCCCGTGTCCCCTCATCTCCCAAACGCTCTACTTTCCACCGCGGGGGGGGTGATGTGGCCAGGGAGGGGGTGACGTTTCGAGGTACACGCGATCGGCGCAAGGGCAACGTTTTTTGTTTCTTTCTTAGCGCAAGCAACCCGCGCAGCTCACCTCGTCGGCGGTGTTCTGGTCCGTGATGCTCCAAAGAGACTCCTCGTCGAACCGCAACCGGTTACGCCGCTTCGGGGACATGTTGGGGAACAAGAACTTCACCTGCGGGGATGTTATGCATGGGCATACATGTGCTTGAGACTTGTGTGCGCAAAGTTGCCTGATGCTGGAACGGGGAGCACAACAGCGGGAAGCACTTGCAGGTACATGTGTTGTTCAAACTTCAAAACCGCCTTCAGCGGTGGAGGCGCACAAAAACAAAAAAAGGCAAGGGTGTGCTTTGTTTGCAGTTGGCATGCCGCGTGACGTTTTTGCTAGAATCGATACTCCTTCGAATCTGTCAAGGCAATCGCTAAATACAGCCAAAAGTACCGCCATAATGTTGCTTTTGGGTGTTTAGTAGCTCTTGGTTTTGGGGAGATGGGGGCGGACTCATTCGGTGTCTACTCTTGCCGATGTCCCATGACCACGTAATCGCTCTGCAACGGGTCAAGGCCAGGCACACCTTGCGTGCACCTTGTGCGTGCCTTTGGAACGACTGCTGTTGTGTACCTGCTTTTTCTGAAATGTCTGTTGTTGTGTGCATGCTTTCGATAATGGCTGCTGCTGTGCGTGTTCCTTCTAAAACGAAGGGCAAATGACACCACCAACTATTCGCGCACTCTTTCAACGTTCGTTCACGAAACAGAACGAATATCCTTGTTATCCTGCCCGCTCTTCGTTTCTCCTTCCTTCTAAGGGCCACGATCTTCTTATCTCTCATGAGAGAAAGGGGGCTCGGCACGACAATCATAGTATGACGAAACGGATTGCAACGTATGCGCCGCCGTTTACCCGGCATCCGGCTTTTTCCAATCGGCACTATCGAGCCCTCCCGTCATTGTACGAAACCTGTTCGAAACCGTTCCATCCCTCCTCCCTCGAAGGCATCTCTATTGACTACCCTTGTATGTTTTCGCTTCAGCTGTCCATCGAAAAATAGCGTTCGTACATACGCAATAAGTTTCGATGCGGAAACGTGGAGCAGAGGAGCATGCTTCTCTGTTCGTGGTCGATTCCGTGTACGCGCGACAGCCGATTAGGCTCAGTGTTTTACTCCTAACCGTGTGTCAAACGACGCCCCCTTGTCAATTTGAAGGGGTGTGTGAAGGACGGAAGGCATGCCGTCTCGCCGGCACGGTACGGGACTACAAAAATGTACCCCAAAAGCGGCGGCCCTGAAAGACAACTCCACCCGCGACGACTTCTTTCTCGACTTTGACCTCTTCCCCTCGGTTTCCCCATCTGCTGATTCGGGTTTGGTCATCGACTACAGTAGATACCCTCATACATGCAAATGCTGATACGCTCGGCAGCCAATGTGTGAGCGCGGACTACGTGCCACATAGTCGAAGATACCGTATGCATAGTAGTTGAAAGGAGCGAACAGGCTGTATCAGAGAAAGCAGGTGAAATCACCGCTTTCTCATCTAGCAGGCACAGCCGTCCTTTTCCACCCTGTTGCACTTGTCGGTGCTATATTTGGGAGTGGAACATGATACTTGCAATGGATTTTACCCACCTTCCCGTGCTCGGAACCCTTGTAAATCTTGCGACGGCCGGCCTCCTCCTCCTCCTCCTCCTTTTGCTCCTCCGGCCGCTCTTCCTTCTGGCCACCCCCCTCCCCGAACAAAATACCTAGCAGCTCGACCTCGGCCTCCTCCTCTCTGGCACGCCCCGTCCCCGCCTCGCCCACGGTCCCAGCTGCTCCCCTGCCTCGCCCCGCCGCCGCCGCCGCGGCCGCGCTACGCCCGCTTCTGCTGCTGCCGCCGCCTACTTTACCCGTGTTGCCGCCGCCACAACCTTTCCGCTTCCCCTTTCCCTGGGCCCGATCCCCGCCCTCGTCCCCAGCGGCGTCTCCCAGAGACCCGCCTCCACCGCCCTTGTCTCCTTGCGCATCGTGTCCGCCGCCGCCGCCGCCGACCCCGCTCCCTCTCCGGCCACCGCCGCGGGGGTCGTTCTCCTGATGCGTTCCTTTGAGATTGGTTACGGATTCTTGGGTCTCTGCGACTGCCACTGGAGACGGTTGGCGTCCTTGCGGTGGCGATTTTAGTAGCGAAGAAGGGGACAGCAGCACCTGGGGCTGTCGTGGGGGCGGCGGCGGTTTCTGCTGATCGGAGGCCGCACTCGGCAGATCTACCTGATGCCTCTGTCGCTGTTGCTGTTGCTGCTGGCCCAGCTGTTGCTGCTCGAAGGTGGGGCCACGGGAAGCCTTGGAAAGTAGAGCATCAAGCCAGGGCGCCGCCGTCGGCGGTTGCTGGTCTTGGTGCTGCTGGTGTTGTTGCTCGTCCTCTCGCTGCTGCCGCTCGTCGCCGTCTACCTCCGGCGCTGCTGGCGCTGCCGTCGCCGCCGGTTGCTGCGACGGTTTTGACAAATTCTCCGAACCTTCCTCACTCATACCTCTCCCCTCGTCCCGGGCATCTTCGCACCGTTTTTCTGGACTCGACTGCTTCTCTACCGCTGCCGCACTGGTGTTGTCGCCAACAGGGGGACTTCCTGCGGCAATCTCCGAGGGTTGAAGAAGGGCAGGAGGCGCGGGCTTTTTCTCCATTTTGGCGCCGCTGCTGACCATTGCAGTGAGCCACTGCATCTCTCTAGAGCGCGCGGTCGCGCCTGCTCTTACTCTCTCGCGCTCTCCTGCTTCTCCTCTTCCTGCTCTCTGCGGGTCGCTCGCCCTGACGCCTTTCGCTCGGCGGTGCTGGTCGGGGGTCGGAGGGGGGGACACGTTCCATCCCCGAAAATGAGCATTCTGGTTCCCGGCGGCGTAACCTTCGCTGCTTCGCGCCAGAACTCCGACCTCCGAACTCCTTGGTACATCAGGGTTAGGTTTAATGAGTACGTCGGAGGTCCATGGCAAAAGATAGGGTAGCATGTGCGCAAAAAAGTCCCCTCCCGTAGAGAATACTCACGGCGGGCGGCGAAGTAGCCGAGTACGGCAGGCACAAACGTTTTTTTTGGCGGGAATCTACATTACGTGCGGCTCCCCAACAACACTCCGCGAAGGGGCGCCAGCAACGATGAAAATATGATGCATTTGCTTGTATGTTCGAATAATGCAGCAGCACATAGGAGCTTGCTCGCGCAGAGAATGGCGGCACGTCGGAACTTGGTAGTTCAGTTGAAGGTTCAACAATGCATTTTATCTTTTCGAAGTACAACAATCCGACCCACGCAGCACAAGCGTTAGGTGGCAATGGTGCTGGAGAGTGCGAAGAACCGTGCCCTTTCCGTTTCGCAATAGAGGAATAAAGGAGCGAGGACCTCAGGCAGAAACGGAGGTTCTGCAGTGGTGGCGCGTGAACTATCCTACACACTATGAACGCGACTTTCACGCAACGAGAGGGGGTGGGTTTGGATTATTTGCGCTTACTCTACATCATGGGAGGATGAACACGTCTGTACCATACTTGTTTTGGCCTCTCGGGGACTACGAAGTCCCCTGTGGTTTGTGCTTGTTCAGTCGCCTCTTCATAGGAGCATACGCAGGCCTAGAGGTTATCCCACTTTGATGGACGACGCCGTACGCATAGGAACGGACACACCGGGCCCTACTTGCCACACGACGGCTGTCATCACGATCACACCCGTAAAAGCGCCCACATCGAATCGAGTTTCCGTACCCGAGCACACACCAGTCAGTGCTGTGCAGGCACACACGGGTTGGATACCCCTCCGTGTGGTTGTCGTTGAGGAATCGATTCGAAGATTCCAAAGCGATCCTAGCCACCCAACCAACTCTCGACACAGAACAACACAACCCAAACACTAGGTATCAGGTTTCGATAAGACAGCCAATAGTGATGTGTCGTTCCGGGAACCTCATATCCAACGTGAAGCAATTTCTGAGGTATTCTGCGAGCCTGCGAGCGGACGCCCTCAACCAACGCAATTACCCATGTCTGATCAACGGACCCGCCATAAGAACAGTATTTCCATCTATGAACGGCAGTGTTGCGCCATTTCCGCACACGGCCAGGCGCCGCAAATACGGCACTGCAAGCGCACGTCTTGCCGCCAGCACCGCGTGAACCATGTTTGTGAAGCATGCTCCCCATCGTAAGAGGACCCAGCTCTGCATCCCCAGGGTGACGTCTACTGAAAACGAAAACAAACTTGAGATCCCCGCCCATCGATAGCCCCTTTTTCGTATCACACATCCAAAGACGGAGAGACCATTTCATCTAACCGAGAACGGTCGTCACCCATCGGCAGCCCTGCCACACGCCGTGGACCACCGCCGCTAACTAAAACATGCTCCTCTAGCACCGAGACGTAAGCCGGGACAGAGGCTGGGCACGCAGGACTCTGGCATTCCTCCGCTCCCCGGGCGATTCCGCGATGCGGAGCGGCCAAACTTTACGACTCCGTTCAAATATCTTACCGTCTCCGCTATACATACGACCGCACCATTCTGCTTTGCTGCGAGGTACCAGTCTGTAAGACCCAACATCAAACTATGTAGACGCGAGCTTAATAGTCGACAACGGTTCGGACAAGTCAGCCCGATTGAACTACTCCCGGCGGCATTCTTGGCTTAGGAAGCTCGTATGTCGGTGAGCTCTGCCAAAAGAAAAAAACAGACAGCACGACAAACGAGAGAGCGACGGCCGGAAGGGAGGCATATGCCTGGATGAGGATACCGTTTTCGTTCGGACGGCGACCGTCGAAACCGAGCGCCCCGCAACAAGCGCGCTTGTGTTTTTCTTGCAAACAGTTTCAAAGGGAGGATCATCACACACACATAACACCGTGAATGATGGGGACATGCACGTTCGAACGGCGCAAAAAAGAAAACAACTCTCCGTTTCCAAGAGATATCCACACAAACGCCGGAGTGACAAATGTAAACGAGTTTATCTGTAGTCATGCACATAAACCAGGCTGCTCAGGATGCAACGATACATCTTTGACAAGGGAGACCATTCAAGTGTGCACCAAGCAAAGAAAAGCGGACTTGCTTACGACAAGTACCAGCAAAACGACCTAGAAGAGGAAGGGTTGGGGGAAGGGGGAGGCGAAGCATCGACCGTGCAACCACCAGCGTTTTACAGGCTACATCGTCTTGAAAGAAACTGTTCAGATGACGGAACATCCCTCCCATATATTGTCCCGTCCCTCAGCATTTTTTCGCAAAAGATCGGGGCTCGCTTTGAATTTAGCGAGAGGATTCTACGTGAAGCCAGATCGATTGTACACCCTGGTCTGGCTTTGAAACGGAGAGAAAAGCGTGCCATGACAGAGGGACAGCAGTGCTGTTTCTTCAAGGCTCGTTTCGAAGCCCGCACACAGCACCAAAAGCTTCACGAGCGTAGTTCGGTTCGCATCCAAAAAGCCGACGAAATCGAGCGGTGCTTCCGCCGCAGCGGAGAATGGCACAGGTATCACTGAAGGCTTTGAAAAAACAATGTGATCTACTCTACGACGGTGCCTCCAGAGGTGTTACTTATCGCAGCAGCTGAGCAGGCATGCCCCGTGGTCTACCGAAAATCGGTTGAAATAAAAATCCATGACAGAAACGAGTCTTCTTCTACCTTTCTGACGAAAAAAACAAAAGGATCATATTTTGAGCGCTGTTGTTCACCTCGATCCCCTAACCAAGCGTGTGCAATCATGTCAACGTGTAGAACAATTCTCAGGAATTCTTTATAGAGGACTGGAGGAAGTTTGGATCCCAACTACAGCAGAGGTGTTAATGTAAGAGTGGATGATCATCCCCATGTGCAAAACTGATCTTCTTAGGACCTGGTGTATCGCGAACGATTGGACGTGAGCACGGGTGTCTGCTTCGATAACGGGTCACCTCGTTCTAAGGCATTTCTGCACTCTTCTGGGCGGTTCCAACTACACAGGAGGCTATGGGGACAACAGTCGCATGTGGCGTTGCGGTCAAGGTTCAAACGCGTGCCGGCTTATCACTGCCGTCGCGCGAAGCGGGAGACAGATCTATCACGAGTCTGGTGCAACCGGACCATGACACAACATGCGGTCCATAATCCCACCTAGATTTGTACTTTGTTTCGGGCATCAGATTGTACAAGCTCGGGCGCACAACTTTCACGAGCAACCGAGATGACACAGTAGGTGACCTGGTGAAATAACACGCGAAAACTTGGAATCCACAAATAAAGGCAGAGCAAAAGAATCTCGTCTCTCTATCGAAGGGTCTAAGAACCCCGCACACCACCGAAACACCAGAGCGCTCGAAGGACATTTATGAAGACATGCGCGTGCAGGGCTCATCGTTCCTAACTCGCTGCAACGAAACAAACGCACACGGACACACATCCCGCGCGCTTGAGGGCGATGTTGCCGTTCGTGAGACTGGCGTCTCTTCATTGGCCAGTCCGCTATAGCAGCACAGCTTGGTCGACACCAGCACAGAAAAAAACCGGTTCACGCTATCAATCGAGGAGAGCAAGGCAGCCTTTGGCACCAACTCGAGCTCGTTTGACAAGCCAACCGGCCGCGGATCTGGGAGGAACACACAGGGGGTGGTGGTGCTATCGTACACGCACCTGCTTGGTGCAGAGCCCAAGGCTCTGTCTGATGGGGGGCACGATGAAGGGCAGCGAGAATCCGAACAAGCCTAGTCCCAGCGAAACCGCCGCCACGGGCTCCCTGTCCACGAACTTCATCAGCCCTCTCCGAAGCATGACTCTTTCCTGTAAGTCTCCCCCACAACAGCAGCAGCAGCGAAAAATCGGTCCCTGTTGGAGGTTTGCGCGGCGTCGTGGTGTGAGACTCCTGGACCCGCTCGTGTTGTTTGCGATCCGCACACCACTAGACCGATCGTAACTTTAGAATCAATGAACACGAGGAAAGACGGCAACCACGGGGTATGTATGTATGTACTACGGTGCGGCAGGACACAGAGCCAGGGTGGGGAAGCCAAACCTCGCTTGGCCGGGTTTGCAGCCAGAGATCCTTCGATCGGCCAACGCTGTATGCGTTGCCGTGTCGTCGCAATGGTCTGATGCCGTACACACGCTGGGTTGTAACATTGTATATAGGTCCGCCGGGACTACAGATGATCGATCATGTCGTCATTCGTGCGAAAAGCGGTACCCTCTTATTCCACGCAACGAACAGCAGATTAGCAGCATGCCACGCTACACATCGACGGGGTCATTCATGCAGGCTTGCACAACATACGGCAGCTCTCGTGCATATTTTACGAAAAGTCTGGCTTCCGCAACCGCCGTATGTACAGCAGTCGAACGAGGATGTCGGAGAAGGCCACCACCGAAAGTTGTGACCGTGTCGTGTTGCATCGCGCCTGCTGAAACATTCGCTCGCAATTGGCGCCATCCCTCCTTCGATCAAGCGTTTTGTAAGGCTTCATCGCACGGAGATGGGAAAGGCTCCTGCGACCCCCGAATCCCACGCACGTGATGTGTCCATCCACGTACAGAGCCGAATCGTCGGACACTGCCTGTTCCTCGAGGGTTTCAGGCTGGGAGGTGCTGCAAAATGCACTATCATCATGCGGACAAAGGAGCACAGCAGAAAAATCGAGTCTTGCTATCGCGTACGACGCCACTGCCATGCACCACCCCCGTCACTCCTCACCTGGCGACCCCCCTCTCTCTCTCGTTGACGTCAGTTCTGGAAACGTTGACCGGCTCGCAGCGAGAGTGACGAAAGCGACAGCTGTGAAACAGCAGCCGCCACTCTCTTGTCGGGGGTGGGGCACAATGTCGCGTTTTCCATCACGCCATCTACCCCCTTGCTGCACTCTGCGCTGCCACCCGAAGTGCCTGTAGCATGTAGCATGGTCCGCACATGCGTATCAAAGTCAAGTTCAGGAGTTCGCAAGTTCAGCGAGACACCGAGGGGTTTGTTTGTTTTTGGTGGGCCACCCAACCGCCCGCGTTTGCACCTGACACCCCGCCGGCCGAGTGCCCGCGTATCTCCACGATGCCAAGAAGTGCTAGGAGGGTTTCATTTGTCCTTGAGGAGGAGGTGACGGTTGGCGAGCGAGTCCCGCTGCTTGCCCGCGCCGATGCGGATGAATCGATCACCAAGGGCATCGAGGGCGAAGGCGGGGGGGGCGGCAACGGCGGCGGCGCGTTTTCGCGGCATCATCATCATGAAGAGGAGGAGGAGGAGGACAGCGTCGTTGTCCTTGAGCAGCTTCCGGCCCTGCTCGTGCGCTCCTGCACCGTGTTCACGGCGGCGGGGTGCTGCTCACTCCTGATCGGCACGGTGAGTTGTTGTAGATGGATGAAAAGATGAGATATACCGGCGGTTGTGTACACGAAAATTACGACATGTACTATTTATGTTGGTTGTTCTGCTTGTTGTGCCAACCTGTGTTGTACTGCCTCCTCTTCTGTGGATGGATATGGAGACGAAGAGCAGCACTTTCGTTACATCGAAAGAGGGAGTGTCCTTGTTGTCCCGTCATTTTCTATGTACGAGAGGGGGATGTGAATGCTCTCGTCGTTCGCGCTATGTTGTAGGGCAGCATTTTCTTTGCAGCTTCCGCATTGTTTGTCATCCAGCTTGCTCCGTGCACGGAATAGTCTGCTGTTGACGAGCTTTCAGCCCGTTGAGACTACATCATCGCCCATTGAGCCCAACGGACTGTGTTCGCTCTTCCAAATCTCCCCAGCATGCATGGGCTTTGGCCGAACGTCTCCTTCAGGGATTGCCCTGTTTGCACCGTCGTGTTTGCATACAGGAAAGCACCAATACATACAGCAGTACTACACACACATGACAGCTGTAGCACTATAACAGCGTGTTGACGATCACGGAAATATGATGATGTTGCGTATTCTGGTCTACCCCCCGTTTTGTTGCCCTTATGTCGGCCTCCTTGAGCAGAGCCAGCGGAACACGTCACTTGCACGTGCGTTGATACGCGATGGGAGTAAGAGTCGCTTCAAGGCACGGTCAACAGCTCGCAGCCGTATTGACCGTACTGCTGTAGTACATGTAGTGATGTACACGTATTATGAGAGACGTGGGAATCTACGCGGTAAATGGGAATACCGTGTGGTATCTAGCGTACGACCCGGTAAACCCAGCGTCTCCCATGGGCAAGACCGCGGGCGAAAGCGGTGCGATTCCGTGCATCCGTGGACATGTTGGTGTGTGCCAATGTTCCATTAGTTAGTGTCAACCGTGCCGACTGGTTGACGAGTGAAACGGCGTCAGTCTAAGCTTCCTGGGAAAAATCGCTGCGGTGATATCATTTGGAGTAACGGGCCTCTTCCCATCGTTGTGAGGGGTCGGCGGCGTGTTGTCCCTGCGGACCCCTTGTCTGGTTAGTCTTATGCGCAGCCATATTTTTAGCGACCCGCATAGGGTATGATCAAGTGCAGCATATCAATTTCACGCTCAACTCTTGTTCGTATCCACTCTTGATCAGTTGGCGTTTGGACCCTCGCGTCACCGCCGTTTGTACGTTTGGTGGACGCCATGACTATGCAGTGTACAACTTGGAAGACAGGAGCCACAACTTGCATCAATTCGTATCTTGAATATCTTGAGCATCGTTGACGTCTTGAACTTGTAGACTAGCGACATCTGGCGGGGAGGAGCTTGAAAAATGAGCGTCCGGCTTCCTTGTGTGGATGCGGTGAACGACGATATGAAATGAAGACAAGAAAGAATCCCCCCCCCCCCCCC